TATCCTCTTCCATGTTTCCTTAGGATCCTTCATCTGTACCTAATGCAGATAATGCCTTCACACTATTTTATGTGAAATTTCGAGCTGCTGCCCCCAAAGTCAGAGTAAGTCTATTGACATACATAGGATATTGCTATGAAATTTATTCATGCAGCCCTTTTGAAGTACTGTTGTATGTTAGGCCCTTTGCTTATACCAGGGAAATAAACATGAATGAAAGGTAGGCATTGTCCTTCTACATTACAGCAGTGTATCTTAGAGGTGTGTCCTAGGTGCTTGAAGACTACAGAGCAGGAAACACCTAGCTCTTCTTATGATGCTCAGGGTAGGTTTCTAGATGAAGGTGATAGTTGAGCTTAAAAAGTTCAAATAGTGGACTTGTGGAGATTCATAAGAGTGTTTTATATAGAGAGAAGAGCACGTATAGGGAAGGTTGTAGAGACATAAAAGACATACATTTTGGGAGAGTTCCAGGTAATTTGTTATGATGGGAACATGGGACATTAGTGGGATGTGTTAGGAAAGATGACAAAGACCGTCTTACAGGGGATGTTACATGTCATGTTAATTTAGGAAAAGTAGAGAACCAATAAAGTAGTATCTTAAACAGAGGAGTGATTTGGTCAGATTTGCCAAACAGACACATAGACCAATGGAACAGAATAGACAACCCAGAAATGAATCCAGGTACTTACAGCCAACTGATTTTTGCCAAGAACATTTAGTGGGGAAAGGACAGTCTCTTTAATACTTGGTGCTGGAAAAACTCGATATCCATTTTTATCTGATAGTTCTTGAAAAAAATTTAAAAAATAAAGAATAAAAAAGAAAAAATAAAATAAAAACACAGATAAAACTCCTGAATATCCATATGCAAAAAAATGAAACTAAACCTCTGTGTCTCACCATATAAAAAAATCAAATCAAAACGGATTAAAGACTCAAATGTAAGACCTGGAATTATAAAACTACTGTACAAAAACATGGGAGAAATGGTTCAGGACTTTGGTCTAGGAAAAGATTTTATGGCACAGGCAAAAAAAACCAAAACAGACAAATGAGATTATATTAAACTAAAAAGCTTCTGCAGAGCAAAGGAAACAGTCACCAGAGCGGAGACAACTTGTAGTATGGGAGAAAATATTTTCAAATCGTTCATCTGACAAAGGACTAATATCCAGAATATACAAGGAACTCAAATAACATAACAGTGAAAAATCAAATAATCCTATTAAAAAGTGGGCAAAGGACGTGAATAGACATTTCTCAAAAGAAAACATACAAATGGCCAACAGGTACATGAAAAAATGCTTAACATCACTAATCATCAGGGAAATGCAAATCAAAACCACAATGAGATATTATCTCACCCATATGTACCCCAGAAATATGTATAATTATTATTAATTAAAAAAGATTAAAGATGCAATATAAAGAATGGATTATAGTGAAGAGAGATTTGAGACAGGGAGGCCTAATTAACAAGGAAGATTTTGTAGTAATCTAGGTGAAAAATAAGGGTTGAATTAAAGCATTGATAATATATTCCATGAGGTTAGGTGTGTGCCTTATTTATCCTCCTTAGCAGTGTCTGGTACATAAAGGAATGCAACTGTATTTATCTTGATTAAGCGATTAGAATAGAGGAGGCAAAGATCAATATATGTGTTTTTTTAAGATATATATTTTAATAATATGTCTGAGATACATTTAACACATTGACTGCCACACTAGAAAAAAATTTTTGCTTGGGGCCACGATGTTTTATTACGAAAATAGAATAAAAACTTCAAAAACAAAACAATGCTTTTTAATTTAATGAGAAATTTGTTATTTTTTATTGTTTTCTGCGTATGAGTTATATGCAACTTGAAAAATATTTCACACGGCTCTCAAGGTGAAGAGATGTGTGAGTTACATATGCTTCACGAGGCCGCGGGCTCAAAACTAGCTTGAGTTAAATACAGCTCACATGGCAGTTAATGTATTAATTGGAGCTGGTACGTGTATATTCTTTCTACTCGTTGTGAAGTTACTAGAATGATCTACTTCTGCTGACTCTCGACTTCACTCCCTTCCTTGTTTTCCTTTTGAAAGTCAGCCAGTGGAAATGAGGTTTTTTTTTTGAAGTGGGAGAAGCTTATTTTTGTTTATAGAAGATATAAGGGAAGAGTGGTTAATTGATGTCATGAAATTTAGGTTGTACCTGATTGTTTGCTTTTGCTTATTAGCCAAATACTATGATAAAAATTTGATTAGAAAAGAAATGGTATAGGTAAGCGGGCTCAATATGGTGGGTGATTATAAAATAATTATGTAATTATAAGTGGTTTTCCTATGTTCCAGTAGTAACCAATTAATATATGTGATGAAGTCCCATTTGTATTAGTGACAGAGAGCATAAAGTATTTAACCTAGCAATAACCTTAAGGGAAGTATAAGAATGAAGAATATGACAAAACCAGACAGAAAATCATAAAAGATTGAATAAATGGTAAGCCCATCTTATTCTTGATTGCGGGGACAATTTTCAAAACATTGGTTCCTCCCAGTGTAGTGTATTAGTTAGAATGTACTCTTAGCAAAAATTCCAGTGAAATTTCTTTTTGTATGACTCTAACCTTTATTTGGTAAATAGGCAAGACTAAACAAGAAAATTTTGAAAAATACAGTGTCATTGATTCAAGAATTCACTGGGCGATCATTGGAACAAAAAGTTCTAGAACTTAGTATATAAAGAAACATCCCAAATCAAAAAGAAAGCTGGAGTTTTCTTCCTGGTATTGGGAAGATTTGCTAAATATTTGGGAAATAAAAGTAAGCTTTTCACTTTATAACATTACCAAAAGAATACATTCCAAGTGAACTAAAGA